AAGGCCAGTGATGCTAGTAAAGACTGAGGACACGGAGGACTTCAGCCTTTTCCATGTCCTGTGCCACCAGAGCCCCTGTCCTCTTCAGCAGATGGTGTGGGAAGGGCACAGGTACCAGTCTTCCTTTTGCCACTCACGCACTCTGAGATGTATCTTTGACTACTATCCTGTTACCTTTGACATTCCTCACCAGATTTGACTCCAGGTGAGCTTTAGCTTTCCTGACTGCATCTCTGCATGCTTGGGCATGGTCTCGCTATTCTTCCCTGGTTACCTGTCCCTGCTCCCACCTTCTGCATGCCTACTGTTTTGTGTTTGAGTTTTGCCAGGAGCTCCTTGCTCATCCATGCAGGCCTCCTGCCATTTCTGCCTGACTTCCTGCTCACTGGGATCCACTGCTCTTGCAGCTGGAGGAGACAATCCTTGAATATTAATCAGCTTTCTTGAGACCCTCTTCTCTCCAGGGCCTTATCCCAGGGGACTCTACCAAGAAGAGGCTTGAGTCTGATCTCCTGAGGTCCAGTGATGTGATCTTGATTTCTGCTCTGCTTCCTCCTCTCAGGATCCTGAACTCCACCATGTTATGATCATGCAGCCAAGGCTGCCTTTGACATTTACATCCCCAATGAGCTCTTCCTTGTTGTATGAGGTATAGCAGAGCACCTCTCCTCACTGGTTCCTCTATCACTTGGGTCAGGAAGTTGTCATTGATGCTCTCCAGGAACCTCCTGGATTGCTCACGCCCTGCTGTGTTATCCATCCAGCAGACATTAGGGTGGCTGAAGTCCTCCTATGAGGACCACGGCCTGCGGACATGAGGCTACTTCTAGCTCTTTGTAGAAGGCCTCATCTAGAACCGCCTGTGTTCCAGCTTACACCCATTACCCCTTGTCCTACCATTGGGCATCACTGAGAAGAGCCTGGCTCCATCCTCATGACACTCACTCTTTACATATTTATAAACATTAATGAGGTCTCCCCTCAGTCTCCTCTTCTCCAAGCTAAAGAGCCCCAGCTCCCTCAGCCTTTCCTCACAAGGGAGATGCTCCACTCCCTTCATCATCTTGGTGGCTCTGTGCTGGACTCTCTCCAGCAGTTCCCTGTCCTTCCTCAACTGTGGGGCCCAGAACTGGACACAATATTCCAGATGCGGCCTCACGAGGGCAGAGTAGAGGGGGAGGAAAACCTCTCTCCACCTACTAACCACCCCCCTTCTAATGCACCCCAGGATGCCATTGGCCTTCCTGGCCACGAGGGCACAGTGCTGGCTCATGGTCATCCTGCTGTCCACCAGGACTCCCAGATCCCTTTCCCCTTCACTGCTCTCCAACAGGTCTAACCCCAGCCTATACTGGAACCTGGGGTTGTTCCTGCCCAGATGCAACACCCTACTTCCCACGCTGCTCGCACTACTGTACATGCACTCCAGAGGGGCACACCACCATGCTGATTTCCCAAAGGGTCTGGGAGTTTCCTCGTAACGGTGCTTCAAAGGTATCTCCTTCCTTATATCCAGCTGCTGGAGGTGACCCTGTTGAAGCCTCCTTTTGTTGACTGTGTGTTCCCTTTCAGGCACATCATTCCAGGCCCTCTGCCCATCAACCATGTCCATCACTCCCTCACAGTGCTGCTGGTAACCCTCTCCCTCCCCTGTCATTCCTGTTTCAAAGCCCTCCTTACCAGGTCAGCCCTCCTGCTGGCAAAGGCAGATTTGCCCCCCACCTTACTGAGGTGGATCCCATCCCTGCCAAGCATTTCTCTGCATTCACAGACCTACAAGCCTCGCTCCACTGTGTAAACTAACCCCATGGATGCTTCCCCTTTAAAAACAATTCTTTTCCATCCCACTTTTGCAGTTGGCTATACACCTAGCTGGACAGCAGCCGACTCAAAACTGTCCTACAGCTCCGACAGCCATTCTCAAGGGACTCATTTAGCAGATGTTACAGTTAACAAGAACCCTGCAAACCACTGAACAACCAACCATCATCACTCCGAGAACTGAACTTCTGGAATCAGCTTCAGCTGAAAACCTAAATCACTTAAATATTCCATCAGCTCACAGAATATCTCAAGTTGGAAGGGACCCATAAGGATCAAGTCCAACTCCCTGCTCCTCGCAAGACTACCTAAAACTAAATCATAAGAGCAAGAGCATCATTCCGACACTCCTTGAACTCTGAATGACACTCAGCTATTCCAATTAAAGTACTTACTGACAGAGGGGAGAGTCAGGGCTTGCTTAAGTATTGCCTTAGGAAATATCACCCTAGCTTAACAGACACAGCAAATGTTCCTCCTGCTTCTAACATTCCCAATCCAGTAAACTAAGATAATTGCTGATGAAATTAAAGAGGGTATTAGCTCTCTATGGTACTCCCTACTCGCAACCCTCTTGAAAATTAATTAAGGCAAGATACTGCCTGATAATAGGGCCAAACTAGAAACCAGGTAACTGAAGTGACCAGGATTAAAATTACTCTTTTTTTAGAGGATTCAATCCATCCCATTACACAAACAGATGTATCACTACAACCCAGGGTTGCAAACTGCAACACAAATGACCAGAACTATTTTTATTCTTATGTCATCTCTCAAAACTATCCCAAGATTTTTTTATTTATATATATATATATA